TGAGGAGGTCCAGATTCGCCAACTCCGCCCTCTTCTGTTCCTTGGGGTTAAGTTCAGGCGCCATTTTGCCGTTTTCGATGGCCAATTCGATGTCATCCATAGTGGAGGACAGTCCCAGTTGGAGCTAACTACGTTAGTACATCATTTTGATCCCTAAGAGTAATAAACACCTACCAGCGACTCTTTATTTGCCGTCTCATGTCGCATTCTGACAGCATCGATCTTGAGAGCTACTTGCTCCCTTTCGGCACGGATTCTCAATATTTCATTACGGAGTGAAACCTTCTCCTTCTGCGCAGCCCGCACCCGCTTCTTAAGCGTACGCAGATTGTCGAGAGCGATGGTCTGGACTCGTTAGTTTATCGATATTATTTTGAAGTCGAGGGAGTGCTCACTTGTCCCTGCAGCCGTGTTCTTAATTCCTCCTGGAACGCTTCCACGGCTCGCAGCTTTGTCCTGTATATCTTCCTGTTCACAGGCCCATCTGCTTGACTCGCTTCTTCGTGTAATGCGGAAAGATATTTATCCATGGACTCCTCACATATCTGTAGCATGACATCGACAACGTTTGGAGATTTGTGGTCGGTAAAAGGTATATCAGTATTGAGAATATCCTCATCTGTATCATTTTCGTTGCGCTGGAGAGGCTTTGTGTATCTCTGAACCGTGACCGGAATAGATTTGCCATCACTTTTCCGTCTTGCGGAGGGCTTCTTCTTCTTCTCCTTGACAGTTTTGGGTTGAGCTTGTTTAACTGGGCTCACTTTATTCTGCCTTGGACGTCTTTTCTTAGTGGGTCGTTCCATCGTGGCCAACGATGAGTCAACACCATCTGCATCATCGGGCGGCCGTTTCTGCCGAGGACTAACTCGTGACCGTTTGCGCCCAATTCGACGGGCGGCTTCATGATCACTGACTTCCTCAGCTTCCTCATCATCGGCCACAGCACCTCCCTCAGCCTCTATCTCCGCCTCTAGCTCTGCTTCAACTCCCGGCTCAACCTCTGGTTCAATCTCGGGCTCAGCCACTAGCTCAGCAACTTCCTCGACCTGTTGATTTTCTTCCTCACTCTCGCCAATATCGTAAGGAGATTCAGGAATGGTTACCGACTTCTTCCTCAGCTGAGGCTTCCTGGCACTACTAGTACCCGCAGCATCTGGAGGTGAAGAAAGTTCTTCTACGTCGTGGACGAGGGTAGTAGGTGTGGTCCGGTGATTTTGACTACGCGTAGATCGCACCGACCGCACCGAGCTTGTCGCTGCCGTGCTATCGCTTTTGCGAGAATGGCGTGTGAGCGGCGACGACCTCTGAAGTGCCTCGATTGGAGATGACGGCGTTTTCCTCGCGCTTGCTCTCGTAGTCCTTGCGGATAGGGTGCCTACTGTTGCTATGCTCTGCCTAGTTTTCCGTGCCAATGGCGAAGATGTTGCGACTTCACCAGTAGCCCCTGCTTCCTCTTCTGCCATGACTACTCTTTGAAGCCTGGTGCTCTGGGTCACGGCATCTGTCGGTTCGATACGACGGCGACGGCCGCTCCCAGGCGCCGCAACTGGGCTCTCTGTCACCTCCTCCTCAAAGTCCATCATGGACACCTGAGATAATTTTGATGCTGCGGATCCTCGTGATCCTTGTGAAGTCCGTCGTGGTGTGGGTTCCTGTAGTTGCTCGTCGTCCCCTTCGTCCATCGGCTCCCCCCCTGTTGTTTCAATAGTTGGCAAGCCGTGAGTATCATCATTGCTATTACCCCGAGGAGTATCGGCCTGGTTTAGATTTAGTATGTTTAAGCGGGTCGAAATCCGTCCTGTAGTTGTAGGTGCAGAACCTGGTCCGGGCGAGCCAGTTCTCATCACCACATCTTGCGGTATCGCGTTGATCGGGGTGGGTTTCTGACCGCTGCTGAGTCGCGCCGAAGACCTTGTCGCAACTGATGAGCTTGATAGTTGCGAGGTTGCCGATCCAGGCTCATTATTCAATCGCCGTCGTTTCGCGGACGTGTTAGGCTCCGATCGTATTTGAGGCAGGGAGGGAGTCGGATCGGGAGAGGTTTCGGAAGCGGGCAGCACGAAGCCGAATGAGTCGTCGGCTACTTCATGGCGTCTATGACAGATGTGTTAGAACAGAGAAGATAGAAAAGGACGAATAATTGTACCCAGCTCCTCGCATGCGCTGCTGCATGCGCTCCTCTCGGCCTGGTCATGGCGGGTTAGCGATAACGAACCCAGCACGGTACAGATTCTGGACTGACTGGTGGCCATGGCAGTGACGAAAGTGGCGTATCCGGGTGTTTACAATATAGTACCATTGTTGGAAGTTGAACAGAATCAAAGCCTCCGAAGTGCCAACTTTCGGGGAATTGACGTAGTGTGCTATCTCGTCGTACCTGTCTCGCGACGCGTTGTCGATACGCGCCGAGCCCATCCCACCAAAACTGTGGCTGGTGCTATCCAATTTACCTACTCATAGAGGTAGGTACCTAACCTACCTACTGTATGTGGCTCAGCCACACGATGGTCAGACCAACAGCTGGGTGGGCTTTACCGCTCTAGTCTCGTCAAGGTTAGTCTACTAATGCGTAATGCTGCAAAGCGGAGTGCTCCACATCGGCGGACCGAATACAGACGGCTGCATCGACCCCTGTGAACCCATCCATCCACGTAATCCAATATGGAGCTTCCCGCTCAGCTCTTATGACCTCAGACCCGAGAAACCACCACCGGCACCAGGTATCTACATTAGAACCACTCCCAACAGGCAGCCGAGTGCGGTATATCGCCCGTGGCAGCCTCCGACATTCTTCATATGTTGTAGTGTGTCGCGTCGCTTCTTGATATGCAAACCCGATCTTCGTCCGCTATCCTCCATATAGGCCACCTTGAACAGACTCGAATCGCGGTAGCTACGCTGGCTTAAAGTATCTCGAAAAGATGGGCTGGAACGTGTGTTTACCCTATCGCATAGGTTCCTTTGCGCGTCTATGTTCTGATTCAAGTGATAGATCTTTCGCATCTTAGGGGATGTGTCCCACCTCCTCTCAAAAGTTATCTTGATATACGCCATCCACCGCAACCGCAGTGCCGAAGGTATCTATGCCTCAAAGAGAACCAGCCCCTGACGCGTCGCGTAAGCTAACATTCCAACTAGGCGTCTCATGGATCACACAGGTCCTATACGCCGTCGTGTTCTGCTCCAGATACACCGATATCTTCACCGAGACGTCGAAATGGAACTACTTCTTTAAGCTGTTCTATATACTCTCCTCCATCTACATCATCGCCATCATGCGCTGGATCTATCCTCGAACGAGGGAGAAGGAGGTTGCCTGGAAGCTGGGGGCTGGTATTCTCGCCGGCTCTCTACTACTCGCTCCATTCGTAATGCTCATCTTCGAGGGCAAGAATCAATGGTCTTTCTTCACGGTTCGTACCCTCTCTTACCCACGCTTCTCGAGCTCGCGCCTAATTATGTCCACAGTGGGTTTGGGATTTCTCGCAAATTCTCGAATCGATCTGCGTCTTGCCCCAGCTACTTCTTCTCCGACAAACGAACGTCCCGACCGTCATCGACTCTTTCTACCTCATCTCCCTAGGGTCGTATCGCGCTCTCTACTGCCTCAACTGGATCTGGAGGGAGCTGGACCCCAACGATCGGAAACCGAACGCCGTATCCGTCATCTTCGGTATCATCCAGACCCTTTTCTATTTCGATTTCTTCTGGGTGTACTATACGCGACAACGCGTCAAGCTCCGGTACGGTGGCATCGTCGACGCTGATGATATCAGACGGGGCTGGCTTCTCAGCCGCATCTTTGGCAACAAGCATTTCGAAAACGACCAAGAAGATGAGGAGAGCGCCCCAGTCCTAAACGGCGACGACAACGGCAATCCCTCGTCTCAGCGAAGATCGAAGTGGGGTGCCCGGGGCATCTCAATTAGTGCCGACGACACGACGTTTGAGCACGAACGTGACCACGATCCGAACGATGAGATCTCTGGAGTCGTTGATCCAGATGCTAAGATGAAGGATCCTGATGAGCTAGCACGAGCCCTTGATGATGACGATGATGGTGACGATGAGGACGGCGCCCCATCGGGATCAAACACAAACTCGAATAAGAGTGTGCCTCCTGGTGTGAACAACGAGAACGAGTGGCGGAACAACTGAAAGTTTTGGTTGCCCCTGATGTAAGGGGATGCGATGTATTATTTTGGGGTTTTAACAACCCAACCCTCCCAAACTACTTTAAGGTCCTTCGACAAACAATTCCATTACTTGATCGCATCCGCAATGCGGCCGATATTTAGTTTCCAGTCATTTGGGCAAGGAAAGGCGCAGGGGAGTCATGAGTACGAGGGGGAGGCATATGCGAACAATATGACGCAAAACTGTATGATAGTTCAGTGTCACATAAAGCCAGAAATTTATCAACTCATACACGACGCACGAGTTTCCTTGGTAGTTGGTGCTTCCACAACAAGTCCCAATAATCATTTGGACATGGAAATCCGGAACCAATCGCCTGCTTCCAACTTCCAGATAGTTACAAGGTGAATAAAATTAAATATCTACCTCATAATGCAGCACCCATCGCCGATTATATCAAGTTCGCGCCTAACTAGCGGCAAGCTTTGTATATGTCCCTCCATGCCGATTTCTTTTGCTATCTGACCATGTTAGGGAAGATATGGATCACAGTGTATGTGTATGACTACCCCTCACGGAGGCTACCTAGTCACCCACTCCATCCCTTCCAACACATCAATACCTACACACCATGGACCACAACACGCGCGGTGATGTTGTCGCGCTTTTGACGCTGCCGGGACGAATCGGGCCGGTTGGTCAAGAAACCATACAGACACAACCTTCTTAGAAATAGGTCTGACTTTAGGTACCCGCTTGGTGAAGGAAAAATAATGTAGTGCATAGGACTACTTAGGTATGCTAAAGAGGGACAAGAAGGGAGAAAGAGAAGAAGAAAAAAAAAGAAACTTTTGTATTATTGACCTCGCTGGGGGTCGAACCCAGAATCTCCTGATTGCTTTGAAGGACCCAAGCTCTTGTTGAATCTTTCTCGTAGTCAGACGCCTTGCCATTGGGCCACGAGGCCTGCTCCACAACGGGCGCTTGTTGCGTTTGTGGTGCGTGGATGCTTTGTTGATGTGTAGTCTTGCATCATATTTCGATCTTGTTAAGGACGAACGAGTACATGGTGAATGCCTAGGTAGGTAGCCCGGATGGCAAGTAGAAACTCGGAAGCAGGTAACCTGATACGATGGAGGGCTGCATAGGACCCGACGTAGTGGTGCATGCATGGATGTCTGGGTATGGCGGGGTTAGGCGATGTGATGATACGGTAAGCGAAGGTGAAAATGAAACGAAAAGAGGCTGGCTGGCCCTACTCCATCTCGTCATTTGTGGGAAGTTGAAATCCCGTAGATGATACTGGTATATTTTTCTATTATTATATTTACGCTACTGCCGTGTCCAAGTATGTTAGGCATAGCCCGCGACGCAACCGGTCTCGGGCCGAGATTGCGCATGTTATCTCCCTAGTAAATTCTCGTCAACGGCGAATGGGAAAAGTACATACATGCCTAACAGCAGCAGTTATGTATATTACGAGGTGAACTGTACGATCTTGGGAAATGTCGACGAGTGACTAAATGCCCAGCACATCGATCGGCATCTGGAGGAGTACATACTGTGCTGAGTATATATATTGATGATCATCTCGTCATTCGCACGGGCTTTGGCGTATGCCAGGAAACAATATATAATTTGGTGAATACCTAGTCAGATGCGGAATCACTTAAAGCATTACCTTTGAGTAATAACGTTTATATTCAACGTATCGCACCTCGCTCACACCCGTCCCGTAACAACTTCAATTTAGTAGATACGACTCAATACACATCCACTGTATCGTTATCATCCCACGTATAAGATTTCCTATTTGGGAAACTGTGAAACTATATACTTAGGGAGACAGCAAATAGGCCGTTTTGTCCTAAGCATGGGAATCTACATAGTAGCTTTGAATGTCACGGGATCTCAGGGCATAAACCACGAAGCCCGGCCTCTGATCTCATATGTCGTCGAAGCTGGCTGAGATTAGCGCGTTTAGCGGTTTGCCTCCGAGGGGCTGATTCGAAATGTAGGTACTTCAGGCGAGCAAATGGGGCTACCAATAAGATCACTTGAACACGCGGGGCATCCTCTTGCCTTACATACAGTACGGTAAGTATGTAACCACCCCAACCTCATCCCATCAACTATCCATCTACCTATCGTGCGAGTTAATAACTTGAGTGGCCACACCTAACCCGGTATGAAATTAAATTCAGCACGTCCCTCGATAAACGACAGTTTCATCCTTATATGCGAGCCCGCATGTGATCGAGAACCTGCCTAGTCTCAGAGTTTCTTGAGACGCAGGCGCATTTTTTTTTTTTAGTTTTCAGCTCGAACCTAAATTTATATAGATATACCTACTATCTGCCGCTCATGAGCATTCTCTCTGCTCTTTTGCTGTTACTGTATTTCATTTCCACGACTCTGAATCTCTATCTCTCCTGATGATTTGCGGCGAATCTGAACGTGTCAGCCTGCTCTCGCGGCAGTTCTTCGGATTACCCTTGTCCTGAGCAAGTCCTCGACCTCCTATTCACATCAGTCGTGTAATTCGCAGCGTACGCTCCATTTTCATACCGGTCTCGCTCTCGCTCTCGGGCGCCTCTCCCTCGTCGAGATATTCGGTCCACCCCTTGCTATACTTCGCAGCTCGCCTATTCTCCCAAGATACCTCAAGCCGTTCCTCCTTCTTTCTGCCCACGTCTTTGTTTCTATCGTGAAGATGGCTGCTATCATGAAGTTCGCCCCTATGATATCCGGTTATATCTTTTTCGCATGGGCGGCAACAGTAGCAATGGCATTCAATCTCCCCGAGAAATGTCCTGTTTTCTTCGAGAAACAGAGGCTGTGCGACCCGATCGCACCAGCAAGCTTCCTCCCTGCTCCCGTGAGCCGTGCCGCTAAAATTAGGCCGGCTCGCATCGCAGATAATAGTGTATTTGCCGATCTCCTAGACGCCGTAAACGTCACACAGTCAGAGTACTTCGCTCCGTGGTTGGGAACCTGGCCCGATGCCATCGACTGGACAGCTGCCGTGATAGGCACACACGTTTCGGGGGCGGCTCGCAGCATTTCCGAAGATCTGGTCTTCCTGCATTCGAAATGGGACAGCGCCTCTGATTGGAGGCGAGCTTCCAACTTGATCGACAACTATTTCGCCCAGACTGTTGCGTATTACTTCGGCCAGGATGCTTTCACTATTAGAAACGAAGCTTACGACGACATTCTCTGGGTGGTTCTGGGCTGGCTTGAGAGCATCAAATTCGTCAACGCTCACAACGACTTGTATTACGCCCTCGCCAGCCCAGACCTGTCGGAAGCAACACCAGGTGTCACTGATGGGATCTTCAACAGTTGTGCAATGATTCCTAATCAGCCATACCACGGAAACGTGTGGATCCCGGCATTCGCCCATCGGGCGCGCGTGTTCTGGGACCTCGCCTTGCGTGGATGGGACACGAAGCTGTGCAACGGAGGGATGATCTGGAACCCCAAGCTGCAACCGTACAAGAACGCCATCACCAACGAGCTCTTCATCGCCGCGTCGATATCAATGTACCTCTATTTTCCCGGCGACGACAACGAGTCCCCCTTTTACAACCGCACCGACAGGTTCACTCCCTACGGGCTGGATTCGCAGGTGTATAGCGGGCCTCGAGACGCCAGGTACTTGAAGGCGGCCGTGGAGGGCTACCGCTGGCTCCGCAGCTCCAACATGACGAACGACCAGGGCTTGATCGTCGACGGCTTCCACATCAGCGGCTATCTCGACGAGGACAGCAACAACACGCGGTGCGACGTCCGCGACGAGATGGTCTACACGTACAACCAAGGCGTCATCCTGACGGGGCAGCGCGGGCTGTGGGACGCCACGGGCGCGTCCTCGTTCCTCGCCGACGGACACAGCCTCATCCAGAAGGTGATCAGGGCCACCGGCTACGACCTCGCGTCGGACCGCCCCGTCGACAACCCCCTGCGCGCCCGGGCCGGCGTCCTCCCGCCGTGGCACGGGCTGGGGCGTCTGGGCGTCATGGAGGAGCGGCTCGACGCGAGCGGCACGGGGAGCCAGGACCTGCAGACGTTCAAGGGCATCTTCTTCCACCACCTCGCGACGTTCTGCGCGCCCCTGGAGGCGCCCCCGCCGGGGTCCGGGCTGCGGGTGCACGCGCGCGCCTTCGCGGCGATAGGGAGATCCCACGCCGACGCCTGCGCGGCCTACGGCGGCTGGCTGGCGCACAACGTGCACGCCGCCATGGGGACGCGGGACGCGTCCGGCCGCTTCGGGCAGTGGTGGACGGCGGGCCTGCTGATGGGCGACTGGGTCGGGCCCTGGCCGACGCTCGCCGACTACGACGACAACCACCACCACCAGGAGAACGCGACCGACTACCGCAACTACGGCGTGCCGACCGACACGACGTGGCGCAGCTCCCCCCTGCCTACTACCTCCGCGCTATCCCCCCCTCACACGCGCTACCGCTACTCGCCGTACGGAGGCAGCCAGGTCCCGCTGAACAAGCCGATCCGCCAGGCCATCGTGGAAGACCCGAATAACCGCGGCCGCGGCCGCACGGTCGAGACGCAGAGCGGCGGACTCGGCTTGCTCAGGGCCTACTGGAAGATCGCTCGGATGCATTAGTACGGCGTTCGGCGGCGCTTCACAATGCCTGAGGGGTTGGGTGTTAGGCTAAGATACCAATGTTTTTTATTGGGTTTGGGTGTTGTTTTCATGGTGATAGGCGTTCGGATAAAACGTTTTACATTGACGTTATTACTGTTATATGCCAGTATGACTTGTTCACAATTTATCATGACGTTCAGAGTCTTGCGAAGTTGGCATTATGTCGGACCAGATTCGCCTGAGTTGTTATGGTAGACGCAATCATCTGCGACTTCGCCTACGCGGAGGTGCAGACCGAGGTCCCATATATACTTCTCTCGCTTGCGTTCCCCCTTCAATGCTATTCGAAACGATATTGCGCTCGGTCCTGATGAGGAAAACCTATAGTAACGGAGAAATTACATTGTTTGTATATACCTATGCTAACGATGACCGGAGGCCTTTTATCTAGATAGTAGAGGCAACAGCGGCCATCCAAACAATCCAACCAGCGATCTAAAAAAGAAACTCAATATGCTCTATTCGCTCATTGAATTCCAATGCTAGTTTGATTGTATCAAGATGCCCCGTAGTCGTCCCTATCTCCCTCCTACGTCGAGGAGACGATCAGTCGAAAATCGTCAGAAGGCAAGCTCGGTTTTCATGCACCGGCTACAGCTTATCTTTTCCTGATCATAATATGGGCACGCACTCATACTCGGCCATTTTAGTTCTAACATGGTACCAAAGTTGGGTCATACCAACGGGGGAGAACGTCTGCTCCGTCACTACCTAGGTAGGTTTCGCGCACGCGGACCTACCGTAGGTAGTCCTCATAGAAACCGTCTCTCGAACTCCCCAAACAACTGGGGGCTAATCTCATCGCTACTTAGGCCATGGACCTCCCAAAGGACACCCTTTTTGGCATAATGCTCCAGTAAAGGCTCACTGGTCTCTCGGAACTTCTGGAAACGCGCCCGATAAACCTCCTCGCTGTCGTCGGCGCGCTGCACAAGCGGGTCGCCCGTGATATCATCACGTCCAGGTGTTTTTGGGGCGTTGAAAGTGGTGTTGTATACACGACCTGACGGCTCGTGCACCCACCGAGACGAGATGCGCTCCATAACCACCTCGAACGGTGTCTGGAGAGACACCACCCAGTTGATAGGCACGATGTCGTCCAGCCGCTCGGCCTGGACTGCAGTGCGTGGGAAGCCATCAAGCAGGAACGAGGCCGACGGGTCATCGGATGCCTGGCGTGACAGACTTGCACCTGCGTTTGGGTTTGAATCTATACCCGGAATAGATGATTCCGGAGCCACATCGACCGCGGATGTAGCGTCACCCGACACAGCGGATGCCAGTGTGATGAAGCT